TATATATATATGCATGTGTGTGTGTGTGTATATATATATATATATACATATATATATATATAAATATTACAGTATATTATGGATTTGCTATTAAATATAGAAACAATATTATGCAGTATTTACTGTATGGGGCAGGGATAGTGGTGGTGGCCCCATGATCGGAAGGTCGGGAGTTCGAAATCCACTGAACAGCTACCCTGAGGTACCCCTGAGCAAGTTACACACTGCTCCCCGGGCGCCCAATGGCTGCCCACTGCTTCACAGAGTGAATGGGTTAAATGCAGAGAGGAATTTCCCCACGGGGATCAATAAAGTATACATTATTATTATTATTATTATTATTATTATTATTATTATTATTATTATTATTATTATTATTATTATTATTATTATTATTATGTCAGTGACTCTGAGTGAATTCATATGCACATATAAGTATAGCTGAATATATGTGTATGATTGTATATAGTGCCATAAGTATTGGCCCCCGTCCTGATGTTTGCATATTTGTTACATTTAAATGCTTCAGATCAACAAATAAATTTTAATATGAGACAGAGAGCCATAATAAATACCAAATGCAGTTTTTAAATGACAAGTTTGGTTTATTAGGGCTAAAAGCTATCCGAACCTACTGGGCCTTTGTGAAAAAGTAATTGCCCTCTAAATCTAATAACAGGTTGTGCCCTTGGCGACAAGAACTGCAATCAAGCACTCATGATAACTAGAATAACTGAGGTGTGGAGGAATTTTGGCCCACTCTTCTTAGAAGAATTGTTTTAATTCAGACATACTGTTCATGTTAAACAAGCATGATTTATGCTTAAGTATCTCAATCAGATCATTTTGGCCTAATGAAAGTCCAGACTTTGAATAACCCATCAATATTTTTTTGAACCATTCGGAGGTGGACTTTATGGTCTGTTGAAAAAACCAAAGCTTCATTAAGCTTCAGGGCACAAATTGATGTCCAAACGTTCTCCTTCGGGTATTTCTGCTAGAGAGCAGAATTCATGGTTCCATCAGTTTCAGCAAGTCCTCCTGAAGCAGCAACGCAGCCTCAGACCACTACACTACCAACATGTTTGGGGCACAAACCTTCCACAAAGTTCAGCTTTTATCTCATCGGTCCACAGAATATTTTTCCAAAAGTCTTGGGGGTCATCAAGATGCTAATTGACAAATGTGAGATGAGCCTGTGTGCCTTCCACTCCTGGGAAGGTTCACCACTATCTCTCACTATCTCACCCGGATATATGTAAATTAGTTTGTTTATCGGTTGTTTTTGAGATCTTTTAGCCTGTTTCACTTTGTCAGACAAGTTCTATTTAGGTGATTTGTTGATTCAGCAGGTCTGGCGGTAATCAGGCCTGGGCAAGTGAAACTGAACTTGCCCAGGTGATTAATTACAGTTAATTCATGGTTTAGCAAGGGAAGGCATATCAGGCAAATCAGGGTATCTTTATCTGATATTAAAAATGTATCTGTCTTTTCTGTCCTTCCTTCCTTCTACCAATACCTCAACACTATGTGTATATTTAGACCGGCACTGAGAATCTGTCACAAATGGTGCCCCGAAGAGTTAATAATAAACCAAAAGGCAAACCGGGAAGGAGAATTCAGTGAACACCGTGACTACTACAATGTGAACCCAGGAGACCCAGGAGGAATAAAAGACTTTCAGGTCACAGAAGAGGAGAGCAAAGAAGATGCTAACATTCACAGGGTAAGACTTACCTGTTACACCAAAGCACTAATAATTTACAGTCACTTGAGTTTGTGTATATAAGGACAGGACCTTGAACACAATTTGTTCAGAAAGAAAAGTTCCCATTGTTGTTTTAAAAGCTTAAAACCACATCTCTTGGTGCTTCTCAGCATTTTTAAAGTGGTCGACTAGCATGAATACAGTTTAGTTTTTGATAGTTTTATGTGATAGCTTGTCACATTTTGAAACATAATTATGTTGCAATGCATGAGACTGCATTATTTAAACTTATATTGTATAGGATGTTCTGTAGACTATAATCCCATCTATGGACTAAGTTCACAAACTTAGCATTGGCTAAAAGTTTTAGCATTTAGCCAACAGATAAGCGCAATCTGATTACTTTGCAGTAATTGCTGTAAATGCTGAAATGCTTTTCCAGGAGACTTTGCAACTTATACAAGGTCATTTTTAAATGGCAGCCAAAACATGTGTTTTTTTGTGAAGAAATATAGAAATGATGTTGTTATAATTAAATATGATAGAAGCAGGCACACAGTGCACTAACACATTTTATGGTCTTGTTATTGAGCACAAATGTTGATCCCAGAGGAGAAACACTTGAGCTACTTCTCACCAAACATCACCTCACAAGTTTTCTTCACTTCCCAGAATTACCAGATGATAATTTCCTGTCATGACTGCTCATCTCTAAAATGTTACCAGCACAGTTGCCCCTAAACACACACAGACGTTCAAACGTGCACAGCCAACAATATGTGTCTGGTGTGTATGACTCATGGTGTGCCATTGCAGGTCTGTTTCCCTCGGCCTGTTTCCCTTTATGAGAACTGCTCCATCGCAGATGAGACTCCAGCTCCACCTGCAGGTGAAAATCAACTGCATTATCCGAGTGCAGTTTCGAGTTTGTCCATATAATGCATGTGTGTCCCTCAAGTACAATAATGACTTCTATGCCTCTATGATTCAGAGGAAACTGTACTTTACTTTAACGTGGTTATTAAAAATCAAATAAAGTGAGCAGTGCTTCAATTGGGGTTTAAAGCTGTTGCTTTTCAACTGTTATTTTCTTCCTCTATCTAATCTCCATCAGATTTAGAGCAGTCTGAGGTCAATACTGAACAACGCTCTCTGCTCACTGAGACGCGGGTCCACCAGAAGCTGATCCAGGAAGAAGGATGGTTCCACGGCAGGTTGGTAATCAATATCTGTTTGACTATGAGTGATGCGTCAAAATGCCGCTAATTCCAAGGTCATTCTCTCCCATGGAATTTTGTTTGTTTCATCCCAGGTTAGGAAGAGAGCAGGCGGAGTCGCTTCTCACCTGTAGCGGAGATTTCCTGGTCAGAGAGAGCAGCTCTGCCGCTGGTCAGTATGTACTCAGCGGTATGGAGGGAGCTACTGTGCGACACCTACTGCTGGTTGATCCACACGGACAGGTACAGCTCTGCTGGTGGAATTCAAATATTGTTTAAAGAAGAGAAAGAAAGCAACCTTTCAAGCATATTTTCCATTTATTGACCAGGTGCGGACCCGTGATCAGGTGTTTCTGAGTGTTGGCCACCTGGTGCGATTCCACATGGAGAATCAGATGCCCATTGTTTCTGGAAGCAGCGAGCTGTGCCTGAAACAGCCGATCCTGCAAACACACAAACATTCACAGACTGCCAGATGCATGGTCTTGAATTAGCAGTGGTTTTTGAGATGAAACACAGAGAGGCCTAGCAACAACAAAAAGAAGAAGAAGAACTTTTAAACCTTTAAACACTTTCAGCTGCCTCAAGAGAAGAGCACCCCTGGACATAATTTCCAGGGAGCTGTGATCATTTTCCCAAACTGTTGGGACAATTTTGCATTATTTGCCCATTATATTATTTACTGTGTGTTTTGTTTTTTGTTTGAGTAAACTCTCAAGTCACAGCTTGTGCCTGTATTGAGAACAGCCTTTGGCCTGCAGAACATCCTGTCTCGCTCTCAGGCAGTTTGCTATTATTTACTCAGTGTCTCAACACAGTCTCTGGCGTTGGCAGGAAATAACCAGAATGTTGGCAGGCTTTCCAAATCCTTTTCTATATGCTATATTTGTCTCGTGCTCATTAGTTTTGATTTTCTTTTGTTTTTGTTCCCACTTTCCATGCTTAACTTGAGAAAAATAACTTTTCATCCCACTTGTTTGTTGCATACTGAACATGAAACTACAGCGGTCTTTGTATCTAGATACCCCATTTAGGTGTTTATGTTGAACACATTTTGGGTCTTTTACAGAAGTGATTAAATCGGATTTTGTTGGTGATTTATTTGACGTTAAACCTCTAACCAGAATAACAGAACTTTGTTTTGAAATCGTGTTGCAGTCCATCCAAGGGTTCCAGTCAATTCACGCCACAACAAAAAGGTATCAAACTAATGGAATTAGCTTCGAGTGACTAGGGATTGTACCACAAAATAAACAGTTCCTCACAACATTGGCCACATTATTATTCAATTTAGAAAAGCTATAAGCATCCAGATGTCATTGTATTCATGATAACTTTTAACTGAACAACTTGGTTGTATAAAAATTTTCTTTTTCCCCCCATTTACTACAAAAACCTTAGATACCCTGCATAATTGTGAGTTGTTATACACATACAGTCACCAACCCCTTCGTCATGCATGTAGACATTGCCAGGATGACGATGACGTTTAAATTGAGGATCAGAATGGGAAAGAAAGATGATTTAAGTAACTTTGAATGTGGTGTGGTTATTTTTGTCAGATGGGCTTGTCTTATTATTTCAGAAACTGCTGACTCACCGAGATTCTAGTTCTCATGTCAGAGGTCAGAGGAGAATGGCCAGATGCGCCATGTCACAAAACTCAAATCATCTCAAACTGGTTTCTTGAACATGACAGTGAGTTCACTCTACTCAAATGGCCTCAACAGGAACCAGATGTGGATCCAATAGAACACCATTGAGATGTAGTGGATTGGGAGATTCACATTGTGGATATGCAGCTGACAAATCGTCACATCCACATGTACATATAGTGATTTTGAATCATATTGGCATGCCATCCTATCAGGTCAATATGGATCAAACTCCCTGAGGAATGTTTCCAGCACCTTATTGAATCTGTTCCATGAAGAATTAAAGCAGTTCTGAAGGTAAAAGAAGAAGAAGAAAAGTTGATTTTATGGATGGTTCATCTTCTGTACTTCATGGGCTGAGCTCACATGGTGAAGCTTGAAAGCAAGAGCCAATAAAATGTATTATTATTATTTCGTAAACTCCATGTGTAGGATCAACATGGTAATTGCAACTTTGTGCAACAATTTTAAAGCAGGAATCTGGAAATCAGTTCTCCCAGAAAATCCCATAAAGGTAAAAAATCACCAGCCCTGTTGTTTGGGTCAAATGAATCACTCCACTTTCATTAGTTTACTAAATTTAAACACTACCAGCTTTTTGATTGTGATAGATAAAAAAGAAACATGGAAAAAAAATATTCCCTTGCATTTCAAATAATGATTTGGACTAAATTGGACAGAATTGAGCCCAACTTTAAAGAAAACCCCAGAACATCAAATCCTAGTCAAAAGGTGTGAATATCAAACCATTAATCACATTATCAAAAACACTGTAGCGTATTTATTTAACACATTATTACATATTCAGAGAAGAGCTTTGAATGCCTTTCTAGAAGCCTGGAAAACTATTCCTGAAGACTGGTTAAAGAAACGACAAAAAGGCTAAGTTTTTACCTTATGTACTATATTTCCATGTATATTTGCAGATCTTTCAATAAATCCATTAACTTACTTTCCACTTGGAAAATATAAAGAAATCAACATTTTTACACAATGTTTTTAAAAGTCATTATGATTTTTCATTTTATTTTAAATTTTGCATATAATATCTAATTATTTCTTCTTTACTGAAAGGGGGAAAAAAAAGGATGTTTCACTGCATCCATGTTTCACTGGATAGTTCACACCACAAGGTGGCGCTATCAGTCTTTACAAGAGCTCTTCATCCTATACTATACCAGCACATTTTCCCCTGATTGGTCAAATAGATCTGGATAGTTTTCTAAAACTGTATCTCCATTTAATCTTATATGCAATATAAAGCAAATTCACAAGAGCTAAATACAAAGAGTGAAACCTTTTTGCATTTCAGTGTCTGTTTTAATGATACATGATACAGATGTGTCTGAAAAATCAGTGAAAATAGCTGGTAATAAACAGCCTATAACAACAACTGCAGCGCTGCTCCCTCAGATTTCAGCACCCTGTCACTTGTAGATTTCGGTGTAGTAAAAAGAAAATGACTGTATGCTCGAAGTATGCAGTGGACTGTTTGGGGCTGTGCTGCCCTCTCAGAGAGACTTGGAGGGTCTCACCCACACTAATCACCTTCAGCACTGTTTGCCAGGCTGAGCCTGAGGAACAACTGGCGGTTGATGGGTAAATAAACTGCTCTGCCAATAACCGAGAGAAAAGCGACAAACACTGATAGGATATCTAAAGAAAAGCAACACTCGAAGCCTTTTGTTCGGATAACTCTTTTGGATGTTATCACAGAACCTACATGCCATTTAACTTCCCACAATTCTTGGTAAAGAACAGGAAATGAACACACTTGAAATATTGTCCCCGTGTTTTCCTGAACACTTTATGCAGAAGGTAAATGTAATAATGATAATCTGCGTCATTTGATACAGTCAGTAAACAGTCAGGGACTGAATGCATCTCTGTCCAAACAAACAAACAAAAAAATCAGATATCATCTTTTAATATGAATGCTGTCACAAGGGTGAAATTAAATAATTTTACAACCAAGAAATGCGGTTTTCCTGCTTCACTCATGCCCATGTGGATTCTCTGTGAGTCACACGGACCTCACCCAGAACAACTCACCAAAAACAACAATGACCTAGTGTGTGATGCCATTCTTTCAGACTTGTGAGGCCTGGTGAGGGTCACATGTTGTCAAACCTGCGAGGTCACCATTTGACCTCTGGCCCCTAGCTTGCAAAGCTGTGGAGTGTAACTGTACAAGACAGTCAATTTATCAGACTGGTGTTGATAATTTGAACAAAGGAAATGTTTGTCTATAGATAACCCTCGACTCTTGGAGCAGGATAAAAGCATATTTTTACTCTGATATAAAAAGAAATTTGGCACTTTCAGTGAAAGGCAGTAATTTTAAGTGACTTCAAAGACACCGATGATATTTCAGCTAGAAAAAAAGAAGGTTGGACATTCAACATTTTACTAGATATATGATCAGGAGGTTTTAAATGGTAATGCTGAGACATTTTTGGTCCCAGCCTTCCAAACATCCATTCGCTTCAGGTTCGTGGGAGCCTATCCCAGCTGTCTTAGGGCGAGAGGCAGGCTACACCCTGGACAGGTCGCCAGTCTGTCACAGGGCTAACACACAGAGAAAGACAATCATTCGGACTCACATTCACACCTATGGGCAATTTAGAGTTTCCAATTAACCTAACCCCACTAACTGCATTGTCTTTGGACTGTGGGAGGAAGCTGGACCCACGCAACATGCAAACGCAACATGGAGAACATGCAAACTCCACACAGAAAGACCCCATTATTAAACTAATCCAGGAAACCATCGGTTGAATAATTAATAATAAAAAAATCAGGGTTGTGGTCCACCACATAACTTTTACAGCCCTCGAACCCAATAATTAAAATAATTGAATAATGTCCAGTACGTTTCACAAAATCTCCACTGTGTCAAGCTGTAATTCATTATTCAATCATCTGATTAAGAACATGACCCCCAGTAATAGATGCAGACACCCTTGGACATGAGCTCTCCCTCCACCTCGCAACACGAGCCCACGAGGCCTTGAGTTTTCGCTTGCAGAAAAATTTACTGTTAGAGTAATTTAAATATTCAGCTCGACCAACAAAAGGGACTTTACCTTAAATGGTGTAAGCACATGTTGAGCTTTCCTTTGTTACTGCATATGTCTGTGTGAGTGTGTTCTTTGAAGCGATATCGAGACGTTCCCTCAGAAAAAGGAAATGATAAACTTTTTGTAAAAAAATCTTCAAGTTCTGTGGATTTAGTTCAGATCCATAAAAGCCTGAACTTGAAGTCCTTTTGCAGAATAAACCTGAGTGCTGATGAGCCTGAGGGCATTAACTTTGCACACACACACACATACACACATACAGATTGCTCAAATGACAAAGCATTCCCAGACCCTGAAGCGCCTTAATGGAACAATTAAAGTCATAAAAAGCGCCCAGAATACGAGAGCATGAAATTGTTCCTCGTTTCAATGTTATCAGAGTCACACAGAGTTCAGATCTGGAAGGAAGCAAAGCAAGACTTGGCCCACTGACTGGGCCATGTTGCAGTACTTATTGCCATGCCAAAATCTACATGTATGTTCCCCCAGAGGCAGCCCAGAGGTGGAGACACGTGAGTCGTGTGAGATTTGCAAACAAAATGCACAAAAAAAAAACAGAGACCGACGGGTTTTTGTGCCTGTTTCTATTTCCTGTTTCCACAAGTCAGGGACCAGTGAGGGTGTGCTGTGAAAGAAAGAGAGAGAGAGCCACGAGTCTCTGTTAAATGAGTATACAGTGAGTTGCTGTTGGCTCGGGTCTGTGTAGAATAGATGAGTGTGTGCGTAACCCCCACAGCGACTGCCTCGCTCCTCAGCAGCCCTCAATCTGAGATTTTACCTCCCTGTGCTCACAGGCTCTTTACCCTGGCTTAGCATGGCAGCTTGGCAGGCCTTACTGAGTGGAATCGCACACATGTGCACACACACACATGCACACATGCGCAACACACTTTGTCCTCGAACACAAAATGCCCTGGAGTTTCTTAACCTCTTTCAAATCTTCATCTTTCCACTCTCTCTTTATCATTGCCCTATTGGAAACTAGGTCAATGTCAGTTCATGTCATTAGCTTCTGCTCCAACTGTGCATGTGTGTGTGTGTGTGTGTGTGTGTGCTCTAACTGTGCATGTGTAGATGGACTCACAAGGGTGTGCATGATCATGTTCAGTTAGCAGCCATGCTTATCTGCCACTTGGCTCAAGAACTTCCTTGAAAATGTTTGTTTTCATGATCTGTGCCGGTGCATTGGAAATGAGTCTGTGCGCATGCGTGTGTGTCTCTGTGTGAGTGAGTGTGTGTGTGTGTGTGACACGGTGATGATGAGGGGGTGGGGGATTCCAGGATTTTTGCACGAGGCAGCAGACAGATGTGGGAGACTTGAATCAAAACTGTTTTGTTGGCCAACTTCAAAAGGCGACTTCT